TTTTTTGGAGGTGAAGGAAGGAAAGAGGATTTTACGGTTTCTTTGCCAAGGGATGAACTAGATCAGCTGAAAGATATGCTAGGAGAATGAGGCATACACTAATATTTCTTGCCGTGATTGTTTTTTCGAAACAACACTTGCTTATGTTTCGTTGATTGTTTTTCATTTGTTTTATTGTTAATTGCTATTATAGTTTAGTATGTATGCCAGTAATAATTAAATAATGATTTGGTTATCCACTCTTATAGGGTATATTGAATTGGAATTGGAACCAATTCTCAAAATTACTAAATATAAAGGAAAATGAAATACATTATATGAGATTAAATGGAAAACCTTGATCTGGGCCTATGACGGGGGCCCAAAACCCAAGGGTGAAATTTTCATGTGAGCTAAGAGATAAACATTGTGCAATTTGCTCATGGAAATTCCCCCTTCACATTTTGTTTCCAGCCAAATAAGGTTACAGAAACTTGTTCTGTTTTGTGAGTCTCAAGAAGAACAAACTTTGAATGTCAAGTAACAATATTATAGAGGGGGTAGCATTTCTATTTTAGACTTGTTAATTCTTGAATGAAGTAAGTGTGTTCATTTTTGTGATAAATCTTTTGATGCATTTTGTAATGTGTTCATTTATGAGATAAGTGTGTTATTAATATTTTTGGAAAGTTAAATCTGCATAAAAGGCAATGCAATTTTGTTGTTTGTAATTGGGTTTAGTTAGTTAGTTACCTCTGTAGCATTCCCTTGTAAATTGTTTGGTTAGTCATGGAACTTGAGAAGTTGAGACGAAGAAGTTTTAGTATCGTACACTGCTTGCTTAATTAAACCAATCACGTGCAAATGGGTCAATCTATCTACATGATTAGTGACGTTAAAATTTGGTATCTATTTCTTTCGTATGTAGTTCTTCTTTCTTGTGAAATATCAAATCAGCTCATTGTCATTTCAATGCAATTGGCTAATGCTGGGACGAGCCTCATGGCTTTAGTAACTATCATCGTTTTCTTTATCTATGTTATTTTCAACTCATCAATGATCCATCTCCCTAATTATTAGTTAGGTCTTTTATTTTTGTGTGTGTTTGAAGTACAACTATCTTTTATGAATACAACTATCAGTTTTTAATACCAAAGCATTTTGCTCATAATTGAATAATGCATGAGATGATTATAAATTTATTTAAGAGAAAACTTGAATGAAAACCAAAGTAGTACGTCAAAACTAAGCAATGCTATCCATACAACTTTGACGAGTCATTTTATAGGTTTGAAGCACACGTGCCCATCTCATTTCGGGCCATTTCTGCTTAGCCATTAAAATAAAGAAAATGCTAAACAGTGCTCTTACAGAGTTCATTAAAGAATATAAATAAAGTTTTTAATTAAAAAAAGCGTATTTACTCATTCTTTTGTATAATTTTATTTCATTTTTTAATAAAAACTTATTACATATTGATTACTTAACCAGTACTCTTTGCAAATACACTTCAAATAAAAACTATTCCTAGTACCCTTCTAGCTAGTTGCTAACACTCGATATGCATGCATCTTGTTCACTATATATGCAACGTACCCTCACATGCTATGGAATAAATTAATAATAACATGAACTAGAGGCTTAGATTCATCCAAACTTGATCTAATCCAAGTCGCTTACACTCCAATTTACAAGATTATTACGCTTTGACATACTCGACAAATTTTGTCTACTTTTATGATTTATACTAATTTACATGAAAATTTTTTTTTTGTTTTTTTCTAATTTGGGCCATTTTTTTTCTTTTTCGGTTTGGGCCCGGGTTTCTTTCCTGGGTAGGGAACCCAACACATAAAATACGGTTGCAAAAACCCTAATACATAATAGCCTCTCTTCCGTGCAACCCGCGGCTACTCCGACAAGACCCCCCGCCATCGTCGCCTCCGCTTGCCACCATCACCTCTGACGCGGCCACCAACATCACGCACGACGTGCCTTTCTTCTCCCCCTCCGCGTGCACCATTGTCGTGCCACCCTAACCTCCGCGCACGCCACCCTAACCTCCCCGCGAGCCACCGTCACCTCTGCGCGTGTCATCGTCACCTCTGAACGCGCCACCGTTACCTCCGACGAGACTTTCTTCATCCTGGTACTTCCTCCGCGCGTGATAGATTCTCCCTCCGCATGCCTCCTCCTTTGAGTTTCGCCATCGCCGTTGCCATTTAATCCTTTTGTTGGTTAGGAATTTATGTTTCTTTAAGATGACTCTCACTAGATTCTGAATGCCATGAATTTTATATTGTCATATTGTTGGTTTTAAAATGTGTTTGTTTTTTTTTTTTTTTTGCATCATATTATATATATATATATATATATATTTTTTTTTTTGTCCGCCATAGACCGTCATGGCATCCGCCATGGCAATACGGCACTTAAAGGTTCTTGCCACCATCCGCCGTATAACCTTATTGATAACCTTGCATGCATCTTGTTCACTATATATGCAACGTACCCTCACATGCTATGGAATAAATTAATAATAACATGAACTAGAGGCTTAGATTCATCCAAACTTGATCTAATCCAATTCGCTTACACTCCTATTTACAAGATGATTACGCTTTGAAATACTTGGCAAACTTTTATCTACTTTTATGATTTATACTCATTTACATGAAAGTTCATTAAAGACATGCATATTTTCTTTTAATAGGTGTCTGCTACATCTCATAAATTTTAAGTTAGAAATATTTGTTTCACATGTTTGCTTCATTATTTATGAATAACATTTTTATGCTTACTTTTTGTTTATGTACAGCAAAAGGAAAGAAACATGGCAAATGAAAATGAAATTTTGCATATTGTATGGGCTTGCTCTTGGACTTTGCAAATCGCTTTACTTTGCCATATGGGTAGTCCTTTGAAGAGTTTAATTGAAGTTATAGACAACAAAGGAACACTAATAGTTTATTTAGATCTTGCGGATGCATATTCTTTGCTTCGCATACCCATACTATGGACGGCCATGGTTTTCGGGAACAGCATTGGAAATGCTTTAATTGTTCAGCCATTGAGTATTTGTCAGCATTCAAACATAATGCTGGTACTTACTACATTGACTTACATATCCTTATTAAAAGACAGAATATCTGGAGTTAGTGTCTTGATTGGCTCAGTTGAAGTATTAGCCCTCTTAATTGTGTGTGGAGGGGCCATTGTTGTATGGCTACTTGTTGGCATCATAGCTATTGGAGTTAAGTTGTTTAGGCTTTTCACAAATATGTTTCTTTGACCAAAATAATGTTCAATAGGAGATTTAGCAGTCATTTTTTAGAAGTGAAACTAAATTTTTAGTATATTAATGCAATCTTGTGGAAGTTTATCCACTTTCATTTTCTGAAAAAGGTGTCTATCATAAACTTGATGAGAAGTTGAGCATTTTTCTTTAAATGTCATAGTTTAAGAAACTAATTCTTGCACAGAAAACTTAATTACAAAACTTGAGCTTTACAATATATATATATATATATATATGTGATATGAAGTGAAAAAAAATTACTTGAGCATATAATATTCAAAAGAATTTTTTTTATCGAGATGAAACTGAAATAAATCAACAACATTCGTAGAGTTTAAAGAAATTCAAGTTGTTTATGATTCAGCTAATTGTAAATTTTTATGTGATTGTCGACTTTTTAATCTCGTGGAATCCGTTTTTGTCACATCTTTTGTGGCATGAGAAATGAGTATATTGATTCTATCCCTGATAGTTTGATTTTAAAACAACGGGCAAAGACTGCTAAAAGTGACCTTATAACGGACAAAGTCTGCTTTTATTTCCTCAGTTGGAACATCAGAAATTGATCCTGATAGCATTGCATTGGCTCGTTTTGGGGCTTTATCCACTCTTGGTAATAGGCTGTTTAAATTGCTTAAGAAAACAGTGAGGTGTTTAAAGAGATTAGGGGTGAAATCTTGAAACTTACTGCTAAGGTTATAAAACAAGGAGATCAGTGCATCAAAACCTCATCTAAAACTATTATTGGTGATATGACGGTGCATCAAAACCTCATCTAAAACTATTATTGGTGATATGACGGTGCATCAAAACCTCATCTAAAACTATTATTGGTGATATGACGGTGCATCAAAACCTCATCTAAAACTATTATTGGTGATATGATGGTGGACTAGTGGTGAAGACAAAAGGTGCTCCTTTAAAGAATAAGTTAAGGAAGAAGAGGAGATTATGTTCTAATTGTAGAAGACCTAGACATGTTAGTTGTTACAAAAAATGTCCAGTTTCATGGTAATAACCACCGAGAGAGTATGAATGTTGAATGGCCTGCGGCTTTTAATGGGAAACAGGTAAATAATATCTTTATTTAATATATTTTGTTGAAATATTATTGGATAAATATTTTATTGTGTATGATTTTTTTCCAGGGTAAAGAAATCTTGTCATGTCCTAAGAACAATATCAATGATGAAGGCTCAAATAAGTCAAAAGGCTTGGATGAATATGTATGACAAAATATAATACATTGCGGGTTTATTTTGCTATTTAATTAAGTTCTCTTAATTTAATCATGTTCAGTGTTAATTTTTTTTAATTTGTATTGCAGATTATGGAAGCAGAGCCTACCAGCTCTTGCAAATTGAAAGAAAATGAGGGAAATGTGAATTCACAATTCATTTAAGGAAGTTGTTAGTGTTTTGTGGTTCACTATTTGTTAGGAATAATGTTCGTAGTGCCATTTTCCCTTGTTACATTTTTCATTTGCTTATGAATGAGAATTCCTGAAATATTGAATGAAAGGTCAGGTCATAATGTTGAAATTCAAGTGATTCAAGATCTTCAGATATTTTTATTTTATTTGTGTTTTATGTAATAAGTTGCAATTTCAATTCCTTAATGTTCGATTCTATCCATCTTCAGGATGCTATGGAGTATGCAGAATGTTAGGCTATTGCTAAGGATTTTCCTCCATTTAGAGAGGCCCTGAAGAAAAAGGGGCATTGAAGACATTGACCTTGTAATGGTTAATGCCTGGTAATTTTAGTTGTGTGCATTGATCTTTGTTCAGATAAGTTGTTATTCTTTTGCCATGCATTTTCTATATTTAAAATTTGTACTTCATAATTGTTCTGCAGGTGTGTTGGTTATTACAGTGAAGCAGAGGGTCCGAATCGTAGACTTTCTATGCCACTTATATCTTGCCGAGCCTCAAGTGACTGCCCATGGAAAATGGCTATGCATGCCCAGTTGAGGCATTTATGTGCTTCTTGATATGCAAAACATGTCAGTCATTGAATTTGAAGACTATAAACACGTTTCTCTACCTCCCATTGATTCCTTGAGGAACTATACACATGGTGAAGCAAGTGGTGGATCTGATAGAAGTGATATAAAACCCTTGCAGATTATTCAGCTTGAAGGTCCAAGCTTTCGTGTTGATGGGTCTTATGTTGAATGGCAAAAGGTTCATGTTGAATTGCTTCTTTATTGAGTTAGTTACTTATTTTGCTAATGTTCAACTATTTCTATAACTACCACTTTGTTCTTTGCTTGTTAATAGTGGAACTTTCGTGTTGCACTTGCTTTTGATTTATATATGTGACAGTGTGATAAATGCAAATTTTTATTTATACACACACACATGGATTAATCTTTTTCCTTAAAATAGCAGAAAATGGCAGGGTTTAACTATTATTGTAATGTAAAGTGCTTTGCTAGAGTTCATTCATTCAAATTGCTTCTTATATTATTATTTCTTAGCATCTCTAGTGATGCTCGCTTAACAAATGTAATTAAAGAAGTAAATGCTTGCTGTTGAAAAACTCTTTGCTTCATTGGTTTGAATTAAGATGTTGCAGCTATGTTCACTTCTTCATGCTTGCTGTTAGCAGTCCAGTTTATTATGGTTGGATGCTTGTGTTTGTTTATTGAGTGTATCTGGGAAATCAAGGCCTGCTTTTGTGACATTTAAAGACCCAAAAGCACTTGAAATAACATTATTGTTGTTGATATGTCTCTTTTGCTTTGTATATTTTTTGGTGTGTCAAGTTTGATTTGTTATGATTTTCTTCTTGATTGAGTTGAAGAGGGAATTGATTTTCAGTTTCAATTGGTTTTTAATTCATTTGGGTCAATTTTTGTAAGAGGTTCATTACAATTTTGAGATGGTGATTAGACACTGAACTGAATGCTTTGATCTTTTAACTTGGATTTTAGTTATAGGTTCAACAACAAAGCCTAACTAGGTGGTGTCGGCTGCATGGATCAAATGAAAATGATGGTTTTTTTTGTCAAGTGAACTTGGTTGCTGTTGAACTTAGTTTCATAAATGGAAGTGTTAAGAATATCATGTCTTTTGAATAATGAGCATTGAACCATAGCGAAAATGAAGGAAAGTGATTCCTAGTAAATGACGTGTACTAGATTGAGGTGCCAGTACGATGAACATGAACTATCCCTTGGAAATGATGAGATTGAAATCCTCAAGATGTCATTTCATGTTTTTTTCAGTTTTTGTACAAAAAAAATATATCAAAATAAAACTTATATGATTTCTTTAGCACATTAGGCTTTGTACTAGCATTATCATTTGCAATGACAAATTTCTTGCAACTGCTATTCACAAAGTATGATGTCGTCACATTAGTAGAGAGCAGGGTTATATTTTCATACTTAATTGCTTATTTTAATATTTTGGTTTAAATTCCTTTCCTCTGTGGCTTTGTCTTTTGATGTGATCACATTTTGGTTTTCATATCGAGTTGGGAGCTTACCCAAATTAGATAAGGTTTTGCACTTAGTGATGTGTAAAAGTTAAATTTCTGTTGTCTCTGTCAGGGAGCAACAATAGTAGACCAGATTGTGAGTATAACTTCAATTGAGAACTAGGTACTAAAAACATGAGGATGAGATGCATAAGAAATTGAGAACTGATCCATTGCAATTTATGCAGGAAGTAAGGATAGAAAATGCTTTAAATGTAGCTCCTTCTGAAAATATTTCACTAAATGTTGAGGTAAAATCCAAAATCCAGATTTAAGATTTTGCATGATCTATTTTCCCTGTCGAACTCTTCTCCATGGGAGGATAAGGTTAGGTAAAAAGGTGTGAAAAATATCATGAGTATACTAAAGTTTTGCCTATGCATCTGCCTGTATTTTAATATGCATATTACTTGGACATTGCAATTAAGACAACTGTTTGAGATGAAAGCTCCAATTATGAATTCTTAAGTAATTTATATTTTTATTAATAACAAAATTTCTAGGGTTTCTCATATAGTGTCAGTCTTGGATCACTTGTTTAATGTTTATACTATTAAATAGCACATTCAGATTATTTTGAAGAAGGCAAATATTACCGGTACTGTTCACTTAGTATTATGATAAAATTATCTTTTATAAATTGAGGTTATGGTTTGCCGTACTACATCTCTCAGCAATAAGACAAGATACTTTGAGCAAAGCTAAAACATTTGATAAAAAACATCAGTTGACTGCAAATGCATCTGCAAAGGTCATTTCTTTTGACAAATGAGTTTGACTGACAGAGAAATCAACAGTTGGCATTTCTTAGGTGAATGAGAAAGTGAAATCTATTTTCTATAATATATTTGTATAAAGCCTCATTTTTAAATTAACAAACATATAATTAAATATATACGCAAAAAAACCACATGGTTAGACATGTTTGAAATACATAGCAACGTGTTTTCTTTTGTAGTAAGTAAAAAAGAAAGCAACACAACCTACCACTTTCAAAGGCCAACTGTATATTAACTCCATATTTTTTGTTTTGTTAACCACAATGTGGATGGTATCTTCCTACACCTAGAAGTGGTAATGAGCAGTATTCATATTAGATTTCTGTATAGGGGAAGGGCAAGACAAATTCTTTGTTTTGCTATGGCTTGGTATATATATTAATGTTTTGAAGATATATTTACCTATTTTTGGTTGTATTAATGCTGCATCAGAGCAATTTTAGTATCTCATTTTCAAATGGTATGTGTGATGATACCTGAAAGAATACATTGTAGAAGAAATGGCCAATTAACCATTAATTAAATTTTTTTGAAGATGTGGACTTCTTTGACATGAAAATATTCAAGTATAATGCACTTTTACTAATAGGTCTCTTGCCTGAAACAAAATATTACATAAGGATACTTCTCTTTGGAAAGGTCATTCTTCAGAGAAAAAAAAAAACCAGTTACTCTTCCTACATTTGTTTAGAGTTTATATCTTTTGTAGTTCAATCTTGTCTGATGACTGATGAGAGAAGCACACTGGATTAGTAATGGAAACACAATGATCATGTACCCTTCCAGTATCCATGTAACACAAATGGTGATAAAAGCTGTGGGTTTCCTGTCATTGTTTTCTTCTTTTCTATCTTTGTATTTCCTTACTTTTTGATATCATGGACACAACTTGTGCTTTAATAACGACTTGTTTTCTATAACAATTTAATGGTGAAAGTTAAAGAACTTATGAATCTAATATAGGTGTGATGCCATATGGATACAAAAATATGAAATTTTTTATATAATAGTAACTTGTCCTCAATCCATGCAACTTGCCTCAACATTCATCCTTAGTCCTACTCTTGACAATATATAATTGTATACTATGTAGCATAGGTTTAAGGATAAAGAAGAAAAGATAGAATCCTGTGTAATTTTAGTCCTATATTCCAAGTACTGGAGCTGTATCATAAATGTATCGATCAATAAAATTATATAACAGAAATTTAAAAGACTTAAAGTCATTCATTGTATAATAGGAACTTAGTCAACCCTGGTTAGCAAGTATAATGGTTGCAGCAAAGAAAAGAGAAATACAGTAGCCACAGCTATTAAACCTCAAACGTAAATCACTATGGCCAGATTAAACCTGTTCAAATATTACATGTCCACACATCAATTAATTTGTAACTGAATGGTTCATTAAAAAAAGTTTAAGAGGAGACCCGTGAGCACGATCAAAGTCTGTATGTTTATTGGTGTCATGCTGAAGTTCAAAGGAACAAAGCAGTAGCCAAACACTGGAGTGATGTTCTTTGAAAGGGATTTTTAATCCTATTTTCATACATGGAAGGAGAGGGATGGAATTTCAAAATTTGCTTTTTTAAATCAGAGTGGTAGTCAAACTAAAGCAGGGAAAAACAGGGATTTCTGTCCATCAATCATAGATGGTTGGTGGCTTTGATTTGATTTTAATGAAAGCTTCTATTGGGCTGCTTCACAAAATCATTACATGGTGACATACCTTAGCAGCCAGGCTCTTTTAGGTGAGGTGACACTGCTATAAGAGCAACGTCAACTACCATACACTATATATTTTTATGATGCATGATGATATTACAAGCAAGTTCACAAGTTCCAGTTTGAATATTTTTTAAGTTTACCCTATAAATTATCCTCTTTTGGTTTTTAGGCTGTACAGGTTTAAACTACCCCTATTTATTAGAACGATTATAAGTAAACTGTCTACATGATGAAAGCTTTAAACGTGCAATGCAACAATCAAAAAGCGGTAAAAGAAAGGATTTGGAAAGAAACCTTCGAAGCGGGCTTTTATATACTCAAAAAAAGAGAATTTTGTTTATTGATAATTAATTTTAAAAGAATTATAACTTCCGGTATAATTATAAGTATCACTTTTATGTTTAAACAGAGAGCGAGCGAGCCATAGCCAGAGAGATTTTTGCAACCTGCTGCGAGCCACAGCCAGAGAGATTTTTGCAACCTGCTGCGAGACAAAGTGAGAAGACGAAGTCCAGTGATTTTCTTTCTTTCTTTTCCCTTTTATCTCCCCCAATTTCTTCGTTCTCTTACAAGAATCAGGAGATGTTATATACATCAATAATGTTTATGTGCATATAAACTATCATAAATAAGAAAATAAAATCATACGAAAGTAAAACAACTTAAGTCACCCAATCCTAAGTACAAAAAGTCTAAGTGCAGAAATCTTTAATCTGTCATAATTTTGTGTTATTGCATTCTAGAGTAAGAAAACATTTCGCTATTTGCAAAATGACATTTTTGTGCTTATTTTTGTTTTATTTTCAGAGGGAAAGAAAGATGACACATAAAATGTTGTATGGTATATGGACTCTTTCCTGGGGACTGCAATTTGGATTACTTATCGCAATGGGAAATCCCTTCAAAATTGCATTCACAGAACAACGGCAACTGTTTTAAGTTTCAAGGAGGCATGTTTTATGCTTTTGACACCCGTACTGTTTACTGCACTAATATGTGGGAACAGCATTGGAAATACTGTAATAATTCGATCGTCGTGTATTTGTCTGCTCTCAAGCATGCTAATGGGGCTTACTGTATTATGTTACATATGGACATTATATGTGCAAATATCCCAAGTTTATGTTGAGTGGGGATCAAAAAAAATCTCAGCCCTTTTGATTGTGTGGGCGGGTGCCGTTGTCATATGGCTGCTCATCTGTTTCATAATGATGGGAATTAGGTTGTTTAAGATTTGTAGTATGTGGGTTTTTGCTATTGATAGAGATGAACATGAGAGTTAGCTGCCTTTAGGAAAACTGAAAGTCAAGTTTTAATATTGCTATTTGCTATTTGTTTTGAGTGTTAGCTGTCTCAGGTTCTTGACCACTTCTACCATGCACTCTTGTAAATGTTGTGCATGGATGTATTAAAGATGTTTTTACTATTGATCAAATAAAAAAATAGTTTAACATTTGAGATATTTACCTCAATTTATTTGGCATGTAATATTAAAAGGTTTAAAATTACAAAAAAATGGTCTCTGCAGCTTCACTAGATCTTCATGTCTATAAGAAAGAGATCAACCATAACAAAGGAGCAAATTACTATTAATTCATTCGAACAGATTTATCACTGTTTGCACTATATCCTCTCAAAGGAAAAGGGTCACTGCCCTGTCAGGCAAGGTAGATGGCAAACTTTTTTATACTACCCCGATGCCTCTGCATTCATCTACTGTCACTGGAGGTTATTGAGAAGCAAAGGTATGACTCTAATTTCATAACTTGAGTTTTGAGGAGAGTAATTGCTACCTTCAGCAATACTAACCATTGATGTGCTATGCTTGAGATAGAAAACAGAAAAAAGAAGGTTCATGCGTTGGAACCAAAGGATTCCGTGCCCTGGTAATATCTTGTTGTCGATGCCATTCACTTACATCTTTTAACGCACTTAGAAGGGCCATTTTATGTTGATTGAAATACAAATAATATTTGTACATAGAGAGTGCCACTTTCAGATGCTTGTAGAAGAAGTAAGCAACATATTAGCACTTAAAATGATGATGTTATACTTTAATGAAATTAAATGTGAAGCATTTTCCTACGAGGAAAGAAATCACTATTTTTACTCAGGGTTACCCCACATCCTTTAAACTATTTACGGTTTATTAGAATACTATGGCTTAAATTTCAACTGGAAGCTAGTTTCCTGGATGCAGTATAGGTTTGAGTATCCATACTTACCATTTCATTCTGGTAGTGGTACAAATTATGGTCTCCTCCTGACTATAGAAACTTAAAAAGGTGCATTTGTTTAAGATTTCATATATAGGATTTTAAAAGATTTTTTTTGAATAAAAAAGTTTGTTAGTATTCGATCAAGATTTTATGTCACTTAAAAATAATTCAATGATATTTAATATGGATTTTCAAGATTTTTTAAAGAGTTTATTAAAATCCATTGATATTCATTTGAGACTTTTTACAACTTAAAAACAATCTATTGGTATTAACAACTACAGAGATTTTAAAGGATTGTTGTATTAGAGGGATTTTGAAGGACTTTTTAGTGTTATTTATAAATACCAAATTCATAAAACAATCTCATCCAAACCCACCAGATTTTGGAGAATTGTTTGAAGTGACTTTTCAAGTATTTCAAGAATTTTCAAGTGAGTTTTTCATCTTTTTTTTTTCTATGCTCATGTTTTCTCTATTTTTTTCTCTTGCTAATAATACTACACTAGTGCTCATATATAATACTGGTAAAATTTCTATACATAAATAATAATGTCATTGACTTGCTCTATTTTTCTTTCTGTTCTCTTTAATTGACTTGCTCTATTTAGATGAGTTTGTTCCTTACTTATATAACACAGAAAACACTTGAAATTTCAACCATGGTAATTTTTTTATAACACGCGTCAAAAAAAAGGGAAAGATGAAAGGTAATATCATGATCTTTATAATCAACGGTAGATCTTCAAGACCTTGTAATCAATTTAAATTTATTGGAACAATATACACACACACACACACACACACACACACACACACACACACATATATATATATAAGATGAATTTGAGTTAGGAGTTTTGTGAGTATAATAAGATAAGAATGGATCTTAAAAAAAGTATCTTAAAATTCAATACTAAAATTATTTCTTCTCTTGAATTTGTTACGGTTATTCTTTTCCTTTTACATCTCAACAATTATTTTATTTCTTTTTTTACTATGAATTTTTTTTTATTTTTATATTGTGAAATTATAATTTTTTATATTTAAAAAAATTAACACAAGACATTGTAGTATCTTGACATTCAATACTAAAAATATTTATTCACGAGTAAATAATTGGAAGCAATTAAAAAATAAAATTATTTTTTACCTGTAACAAATTTCAGATATATTTTTTTTTCTTCTAGTTGATGTTTGTAAATTTCTACTTTACTGCTAATATAAAATGAAGGGATATATTTAATTATAAGATAGTAGGGTAGTTTAGTTGTCCCACTATTTTTTTAATCATTTATAAATAAAATATTTTAAGTCATAAATTATAAAAAAATATGAAATTTTTAGAATATTTTTTTAGCATATGCAGCACTATATAACTTTCTTCGTAAAGAATGTCATTCTAATGAATTTTCAATTGGAGTGGTAGACGAACCTTCATCTTCAACATTACCGATTAATGAAAATTATAATTTTGAGCCTATTATTAAAAATCATGAGCAAGAGTTAAAAGATGCAAATGCTTGGAGGACTAGTATAGCTATGGATATATAGGTGAATGCTATTTAGAAGGACATGATATAACGGAGAATTATTATTATTATTTATCTAGACATTGTTCTTTTTTTTAATTATTTTTGTTTTTGACTCTTTTTAAATTTGAATATATGAAAAAAAATCATGAATTCTTATGTATGTAAAAAATCTATGAAATTTTACAAAGTTCACAAAGTCTCACAGAATCTATTAAAATCCTTATTTAAAAGTCTTGCAGAATCTATTAAAATCCTTATTGAAAGTCTTGCAGAATCCGACGAAATCTTAAAAGTCATATATGAAAATCTTACAAAGTCTTTTAAAATCCATAGGATTTTTTTTCAAATAAAAAAGTCCTTTAAAATCCTAATCTAATACACCTCCCTAAACCAAAAAGCTTAAACCATAAAACCTTAAACTCCAAAATCTTATACCCTAAAATCATAAATCTTAAGCCCTAACTTTTGACCAACAAATATAAAACCTTTTTTTTTTACCTTTATTAAATTATCTAAAAACTTATAATTAAAAATTTTTAATGTGTCAAATATAAAAGATTACTAGAATAGTTGTGACACCCTTTACCCCAACACACATATACAGTAATTATTTAAAAAATAAAATTCTTCATCATTAAAAACCATATCTCCAACCACATAAGGGTAAAGAGTTCACATTCATAAACTTAATCCAAATAACATGTCAGTAAAATTACAAAGAAATAAAACTGAGTTTTCAAATAGTTTAATGGAAATAGCATCCTAAACTAAGTCTAGCTATGCCTTGATGTCACATATCTTATCAGAGCATGCCCAACTGAAGCCTAAGCCTCATCACCAACATCCTCATGTTGATGATCACCTGTAACACAATTTAAACACATACAAAGAACAACAAGGGAGTGAGAAACATCTTACTCAGGTTCAAGCGTAGAAATAAAGGTTAGATAGCACACACATACACACAACAAACATATTACAAGTCACAAACATCAATCACATATAAACAATACACATACATAATTAGTATCACATGTACACTCATTTATCATACAATGATGTCAAGGAGTCGACTCATATATTCATGCATGTGGCGCCATACGAAATTTTCACATTTCTCATCATTGGTATGCTGCTACAGCAACATACCTGGGGGCACGTTCATTCATGAATACATCACTGGTGACCAAAGGTACACCTAGAATAGCTTGTTACATCACTTGTGACCCAAGGTACACCTTGTTAGCTTGTTACATCACTAGTGACCCAAGGTACACCTTATTAGTTTGTTACATCACTGGTTTGTGGCCTAAGCGGCACACCTGGAATAGATCATATATGCACATGATGCATGTCACACATTCATGATTTTATTGACTCAACATTTCACTTATCACGTCTCATTATATCTCATGTCACATTATTTCATAATAACATGTTACAGATCATATGTTCACCTTTCACATTCTTACGTCATATTCACATAGTCTCATACAAGGAACTTCTCGTAGTCATAGACGTCAAAATAGTACATAAATCGTACCAAGAAATTATCTAAAACATGAAGCCATCATCAATTTTACATATATTGCCTCAAAATCATCCAAAGATCATATTCCTAATTTTACCTCATAGGGTTTCCCACAAGAACCCACAGAGCACTCTAATTCATATCAAAACTTGTCTATTTTCAAAATTAATCACATATTAATACATCTTATTCAACAAAGAACACAACAGAAGAATCAGAAAGCAAAACATAAAACATTCATATTTTGCCTGTTCCTAGAAACATGCATCAGGCAAGGGATTGTGCCTAATCCTGCTACCCAACAATTATTCTCATACCCCCGAGCGAGGTTTCTCACTCCCCTTACCTGGATAAGCAGAAGACAAAGCTAGAGAGAAATCTAGTTAATCTCCTTTTCTTGGTTCTCCTTGGTCTTCAGAGAGTGTGTTCAGAAGCAATGCCAAAGTCTACTATTTATAGATGTTAGAAGTGGCCAAAACGGCCCATTTCGAATCTGGAACGGCTCATTCTGATCCTTTCATCATGTCTTAAATTCACATTTAGAATAGTCCGTTCTGGAGTTGAGTTTAACTCATAACAGTCATATTTGGAATGACCCGTTCTTAAACCAGAATGGTCTGTTCCTAACTAGGGTTACAGGCCTTTTTAGTAGTTTGTAATGGCTCGTTCCAGTTTGGGAACGACCCGTTCTAGGCTACTAAATCACCCTTATTTTAGTAGTTTGGAACGGTCCGTTCCAGTTTGGGAATGACCCGTTCTGTACTACTAAATCACCTTTATTGAGTTGAGCCTTCATATAATTTGTGAAAATTGGGGTGTTACAATAGTTACAAGATTTGTACACTTTTTTCACTAAGACAATTCTATTGTATGAAAAATAAAATAATTAAACTTAAATTATTTAAAAGATTATGTGTAGTTTATATTTAAAGTTTGATGATAAGAATCATAAAAATTAATGAAATAGGTATTGAATTCAAATAGAAAAGTATTTAACTTCTTTATCTTCAATTTTTGTACTATTTCATTTTTTTATTTCATCCGATGTATCTTAACTAAAATTTAAAAATAAAAAATATTTCAGTTACAAAAATATCACCAAACAATTATGACATTTGAAAATTATATTCACAAAAAAAAATTATTGTTTTTGGTAAAGTTTAATATGTTTTTTGGTAAAGAGAAAAAAAATTCAAAT